CATGAAGCAGGAAATTTCAAAGACAGTTCAGTCATTTTCTGCTGTGTCCTGCAGAATGTCTCGCAGACTCTTTCATGAATCAGGAACCCCGAAAGACCATCTCACCTTTAGGCAAGTTCAGCAGTCCTCTCTCTGAGGGTTCTCTGTGTCCAGTTTATGCAACAGTCCAGGCAAGAGCAGTTTCTTGCCCAAATGACTATCAAACTCCATAAGGATCCTCTTCGATGCCCATCTTCCTCTTGAAGTAACTGGTGCTGCCAGGAGCAGACGTGTCTCCTTGTCATGAAAAGTCCTAAGTTATTAAAATATTTTAAATGCCATATTCTGCAGTCTTTGAAAGATATGAAGAATGCCTATCTAATTGAAATATATCTCTATATATCTAGAAAATCTAATTAACATGACTACAAGCTTAACTATTAGCAATGATTATCCATTAACAACCTATATTTCCTAATTATACATTACATTTTAAATGAACTACACAATCACAATACCTTAATCAAGATCAAAAATACATATACATATAACAAAATTGACCTTAAAATCCATACCAATGCAAATTATTCATATCTATATCATATCCCCCTTTAAATGTAAAAGAACATTTATAAACAATATTTGGGAACATGGGCGTAGTTTTTTCTTTCCAAACTGCTTCCTGCTGAATAGGGGCGTCGTTAATTAGGTCTTTTGTGGTATAACCTGTGTGCCAGGGTCATCTCGGCTGGCAGTTGAGTGAAGTAATTTTTTGAGGGTGTTCGCAGCAACCTTTCAGGAGGGCGTGGTCTATCATACCATATCGGGATAGATGCAATCCACAGGGTCACATCCTCTGTGAAAACAAAAGAAGACCCTCTCCAAAGCATCATATCCATAGACCCAAATTTTGAAATCGTGATACCCTTATATCCATTCTGGTTTAGCTTGGCAGCCCATGTAATGAAATGTCTCTCTGTACTTAGCTCCTTCACAGTCAAAAATTTTAAAGAAAACACAATGTACATAATCCAGATTCTCTGTGAATTTTCCATTTTTACGTGGCTTATTTTTCTTTATTTCTTTTAATCTATAACTATCTGTACTTCTGTATTCTGTCTCTTTAAAGACTTTACCCTTTTTCTTTTTAAGACATTAACTTTATTTTTTATATTCTTTTTTCTTCTCTCTCCCAAGCCTACGTACATTCATCCAACAGTGTCTGAATCTGTTTTATTGTGAATCTGTAACTTTTTTACTATCCAGGAGCACTTTCTTTTGCGCCTTTAAATCACTAAGCGCTTAAGAATCTAAGCTGTGACATTCCTAGGTCAAAAACAGGTACTGTATGCTGGCTCCGCCCAGTCCAACATGGTGGAGCCGCTCGTGCCTCTGATCCTTGCACATTGCACCATTAGCATGGCGGAGCTGCTTGTGCCTCTGAGCTGCGGCACACAATGTCCCCCTTTTTAGGCACACAACAGTCTAGTTGCCATCAAACAAATCGTAGCACTTTAATCCAAATGCTCCATTCATACGCTCTGTCTCCCGCCGGAGCCAGACAGAGATCACAATGGCGGCACAGCCCAGAAAGCCGGCATTTTAAAACAGCCAGTTTTTTCCTGCTGCCGAGTCAGGACAATTTCTTTGCAGCACGCAACCCAGAAACAGCAAAAAGCTGTCTTAAATTCTCTCTCTCTCCTTTTTAAGCCCTCTCAGGTTTTTAAGTGGATTTAGCCCATCACGTCTGGGCGCCATTGAGGCAGGGGTCTGCCTTTAGTGACTTTCATGTGGCTGTCCAGTTGTCCACAAACTATTGGTTAAAGAATTATTCTTTGCCCATTGGGTTCTTCGGGCACACCTGTTAAACCACTTAACCACAGTGTGAAGGGAGGCTTCCTGGACTCAGCACTGTTCCGGGACCTCTGTTTATCTTACACAGCCACACTGTCTCTGTTACTGGAGTTCTTTACAAGCACTTAGACACTGGGAAGAATAAATCCTCCAAGTTTTTGTTCAAGTTGTTTTGGGAATAGCCATTCTAAGACCCCACTTTAAGCCAAGCAGCCAGATAGGACTTCTAATAAGAGTCTGCAGTGAAGGTCTAGGTTATTTGCCGAAAATTACCAACTTTAACAATAAATATTTTTATTTTTGAGATAGGCTCCCACTGTATCGCTGGCTGGCCTGGAATCCACTGTTTAGACTGGGTTGGCCTCAAACTCACAGACATCTACCTGCCTCTGTCCTCTAACTACTGGTATTAAAGGCATGCATCACCACATGTAGCCCATAAACGTGGGGTTATTTAGATATACTTTAGTTTCTACTAATAATGTTTTATAGTTTTTAGATTTATGTGTATGAGTGTTTTGCTTGTTTATGTATGTGTCCCACATGTGTGCCTGGTGCCTACAGAGCTCAGAAGAGGGCATCAGATCTCCTGGAACTGGAGTTATGGGTGGTTGTGAGCCACCATGTGGGTATTCTTTCTTAGCCAATCCTGGGCCCCCTGCAAGAACAGTAAGTGCATGCAACGGCTGAGCCATCTCTCCAGCCGAGTTTTATAGGGTTTTTTTTTTTTTCCAATTTGCATTTATTTTGTATGTGTGTTCATCTCTGCATGTGTGTACACACACACTAACCACAACATACATGTGGCGACCAGAGGCCAACTTGGGGAAGTCATTTCTGTCCTTCTATGTGTATTCTGAGGCTCTGACTCTGATCAGTAGGCTTGTTACCATAGTCTCTCCCTGCTGAGCCATCCTGCAGGGCCATTCTCAGTGTTTAGAGCATACATTTCACACACCTTTGTTAACTCTAGTTCTAAACCCAGTGTGGGTGCACCCCTGTAGCCTCAGCTACGCAGGAAGCAGGGGACTGCGTAAGACTGTATCTTAAAACCAGCCTGGTAACTCTCTCAAAGACTGAAAAAAAAAACATGTGTTTTATTCTTTAAATGATGCCAGGTGACTCAGGCCTTTAATTCCAGCACTCGGGAGGCAGAGGCAAGTGGATCTCCATGAGTTCGAGGCCAGCCTGGTCTACAGCGCAAATTTCAGGACAACCAGGGTTAAATAGTGAGGCCCTGTTTTGAAGAAAGGAAAGCAAATGACCCTGCCACTCCTTCATCTAGTCTTGGCTGACCAGCCTTACCTGCTCAAGGATTAAAGGTGTGTACTACCACACCTGGTTCTAAAATGTTTTCAAGTTTATTTGTATTATTTTTAATTGCGTGTCTGTGTGTGGGAAATTTGCACATTAGCGCAGCTACCCACCAAGACCAGACCTGTGGGAGCCTCTGGAGATGGAGCTACAGGTAGTTGTGAGCTGTGAAGTGGGTGTTGGAGATTGAACCTGGGTCCTCTGGAAGTGCTCTTAATTGCTGAGCCGTCTCTCCAGGCCTCTAGGGTATTCTGGTTTTTATTGGCACCTCAGCCTAGCATCCCTTCCCTGTAGGGCTCATAGCTGAGTCCCTTGATTTATCTGAGAGCTGCTTCTTCCTCATGCACCCCTCAAAGCAATCGTTCCTCTCCTCCGCCCTATCCTATCACACCCCTTCCTTCTTAGCACCCAGAGCTCGGCACAGTAGACTTGGTAAGCTGTGGTATCATTGCTGCCCTTCAGGGCCACAGTCCCAGTTCAGTGGGTTTCCTAATGTGGCCAGGATAGACAGAACAGTCTTGGGTTAGGAGAGACAAAAAGTGAGACCCCAGTGAGGTGTCATGAGGAGGGATGGTGTCCCTGGGATCTGCAGAAGTTCTCCCTCTGCCTGTCAGGATTCTTGAGTCAGCTTTGGCCCACAGGGCCTTCTGTGTGGGCTGGGACCAGTATGGAGGGTTCCCTGCACGTAAGGCCTAGGCTCCTACCACCCACCTGTTCTTGTTTCCAGATGGGGGAGGTAGGATGAGGTGTGGGGACTGTGTCCTGCAAGCTCAAATGTAGACATTCCAGACTCCATGCTGCCAATTCCCCGGGTCAGCTTATCCCTGGGTGCCTGCCACTAGAAGAGGTGGACATACCCTATAACTAACCCCTGTAACTCGGTGCAGGGCTGTCCCTGAAGGTGTGGGCTTGCAGGTGCCATGAATTCTATTTTCTTTTCCAAGTTGGTCTCAGCTTGAAAGGGTAAGCCTGGCATGGATGACAGTTCATTCTCCACAAGAGAACCCAGAGAGAAGAGTCCTTTTCCTTTGATTTTTTCTGGAAACCAAACCAAGAGGGGTTCTCAGCCCATGCTTCTGTCTGGTGTTGTCCTCCACAAGGCTGGACCTCCCAAAAGTCATGGTTTGAACCTGCTCTGTTTCTGCCATGACTTTTCCTGCTCCTCTGTCTACCAAAGGGCCCCCCTAGCTTGGCTGCCTGTTGATGGCAGAAGAGGGCCCTTGCCAGGGAAATAGATGATCAGGAGCCCGAGGAAAGCCTCCAGCCGAAGTAATTCTCTACTAAGTTGAGTGCAGGTGTGTGTGTGTGTGTATGCATGGTGGAGGGGATTCTCCTGGCAACAAGTGCCTGCAACACACTAACACAGGCAATGCATGTGTGCTGAGACAGGGACCTGGGCAGGAAACAGTCACCTGCTGTAGCCACATACATTAATGTATGCACTGACCTCTTCGGGTGGTGACCTATACACACACACTTTAACACTAGGCTAGATTCGTTCCTAAGACAGGCTTGAGCTCATCTTATTGTGTTAAGAGGCTGAGGCAGGAGGATTGCTGCTTGGGCCACATAGTTAAGGCCTATCTTAAACATCAGCAGTGGGCCTGGAGTAGTTTTATTTCTGCCTGAGCAGGAAAGGGCTGGTGGAGACCCTGAAAGTCCCAGAATGTCAAAGAACATTATTTCCATGGAGAACAGCCCCAGGCTTGACTTCTACCCTTCACCCAGCCCCACCCAGCTTGGCCCCAGGGGCCAGCTGGTTATGGACTTGTCATCTGAGCCCAGGCAGAGCGTGGGCTATTTTTAAGTCTCTGAACTACACCCCACCCCCCCAGTTCTACTACTGGTCGCCTGCCTCTGCCTGCACCTCCTGGAATGCTGATTGGCAGTTGGGGCTGGTGTGGGGGCTGGGAAAACTGTTATAAAGCTGAAAGAGCTAAGCAAGTAGCTGTCACCTGGAGCTCCCGTGTCCCTTGCCACCATGGCCACACACCGCCTAGTAATGGTTCGCCATGGTGAGAGCTTATGGAACCAAGAGAACCGTTTCTGTGGCTGGTTTGATGCAGAACTGAGTGAGAAGGGGGCTGAGGAGGCCAAGCGGGGGGCCATTGCCATCAAAGATGCCAAAATGGAGTTTGACATCTGCTACACATCGGTGCTGAAGCGAGCTATTCGCACCCTTTGGACCATCCTGGATGGTACGGACCAAATGTGGCTGCCTGTGGTGCGTAGCTGGCGCCTCAATGAGAGGCACTATGGGGGCCTCACAGGCCTCAATAAGGCTGAGACGGCTGCAAAGCACGGGGAGGAGCAGGTGAAGATCTGGAGGCGTTCCTTTGACACCCCGCCACCCCCCATGGACGAGAAACACCCCTACTACACTTCCATCAGCAAGGTGGGCCAGGTGCTGGGAAGCCGGAAGGCTGGGAGCCTGCGTGGGAGGGCTACCCAGGGAGCAAACACAAGTGTTCATGTGTCCACCCCCAGGACCGGCGTTATGCAGACTTGAAGTCTGGGGAGCTGCCTACCTGTGAGAGCCTCAAGGACACCATTGCCCGGGCCCTCCCCTTCTGGAACGATGAGATAGCACCCAAGATTAAGGCTGGCAAGAGAGTGCTTATTGCTGCCCATGGAAACAGCCTGCGTGGCATCGTGAAGCATCTGGAAGGTGAGCTCATCCTCAGGAAAGATGGGAGACAGGAACTAGTGACAGCCCTGACGTGTTTCAGATATTTTACATTAGGTGAGGGTTTCAAAAGCAGATTGAGGTTAAGAGTTGAGAAATGCTTTTATGTTGTTCTATTCCCAGCATACACTGGGCTACTGTGACGAAGGTGGCGAGTTTAGTCGACACAGCACAGCTGAGCCACCCCACCCCACAGGCGCTAATTATAGAGTAGGCTTAAGGCACCCATAGGGGACAAGGGCGGGATTCTGCCCCAATGCTGGCTTGTTACTGAAGCTTGAACAAGCCACTTGAGTTGCTACAGAACTCTTGGCATCTCTCCTAGTGCTGCCTGCTTCTCCCCTCCCCCCCAAGATAGTCTCACTGAACCCAAGGCCTTGAACTTGAGGTCCTTTGGCCTCAGATATAGGCTACAATGAACAGCCCACTCCCTGCACAAAGCTGAACCACTGTCTCCCTCCCCAAAGCTTCTTTAGGCAAAATGCGGTCTGAGTGCAGAGCTATGGTTATTTAACCATCTTAGGCTTGCAGAGCGACTCCTACTCCAGAGCAAGGGGTGATGGACTGGCCTCGGGGGCCATGTGGGCATAGGGAAGTCACCAATTATGGTCCCAACTGGGTCTTAGACACTGTAAGTCTATTAGATTCTGGACAACCTTTAGGTTTGCTGGGATACTAAGAAAGGAGTGGGGTATGACCCATTTCCCCAGCTAGTGGGTGTACTAATGAACAGATGTGCAACATGAGGGGGACACCTCTGCCCCTCCTCCCTGGACTGGGTTCTGAGAAAGTACATGGGGAGTGCTCCAGGGAACACTCCCAGGTCCCCCTGCTTGGTAGGGATTGGGTGATGGCAACGGCAAAGGTTGAACTGCTATTCCAGGCAGGGGCTGCTGGAGCAGGCAGGGTCAAGTTTCCTGTTCCTTCCCTGCTCAGAATTTAGAACCTCTAGAAACCAAATGACTCGTCTCAACCGTCTTTAGTTTGGCCAGTTCACCCTGGGCTGAGAGCATGCATGGCTACACTCAGGTTACAGCTATTGATGGTGGGTGTTCTTGTCTTGCTGCTGGGCTATTTCTGTAAGCAGGTCCGCCTTGACCTTTAGGCACATGTCTGTGGTCTTGCTCTCATGGACGGGTTAACTGGCAGCATCCTAGTACCAAGGTCATGTATGAACTGAGTGGAAGGCGCTAAGAACACTGTTTCTGCTCCAGGGATGTCAGATCAGGCCATCATGGACCTGAACCTGCCCACGGGAATCCCCATCGTGTATGAGCTGGACCAGGCGCTGAAGCCTACCAAGCCAATGAGGTTCCTGGGAGACGAAGAGACAGTTCGGAAGGCCATGGAAGCTGTTGCCGCCCAGGGCAAGGCCAAGTGAGGGTGTACATGGGCAATAAAGTTCCTTCAGCACAGTACCAAGTTTAGCATGGCCAGACTTGGTCTGCCAAGCTCAACTCAGTCATGAGGACTTCTGGGTCCAGGGTTGCAGCTATCCCTAACTCAACATTGATGGGGGGAGAAGTCCAGTACCCATCTCTGGCTATGGGGGAAGGGGCTAAATCAGGACTATGCACACCACGTGTGTGTGACCAATCCCCTGCAGTGACCCTGCAGCTCTGGAGTCACTTGGTTACATTAAGGAGAAAAGCAATGTGCCCTGGACTTCTCCATGAGAAACAGGAAGTGTGACTCTTGACCAGTTTCCTTCAGGGTGGCTTTCTGCTATCTCTGTGACCTCTTAACTGGCATGTCAAGTGTACCTCCCAGGCAGGACAAGTCTATCCGACTAAGCCTGCAACAGTTTTAGCTCATAGGGCCTCCATGGCCTGCTGTCCTAAAGGATAGGCAGAAGATGGGGAGGAAGTAGGCTTGACCACAGCATGAGGTCTGTGGTTTCCCCGGGCACTTCCGTTCCAGGCTACCAGCGGGCAAGTCTGGGGTCAAGTATGTCCACTACCTCCAGGCAGATGAGTGTTGGACCATGTTGCAGAGGCTCCTGGAGGGAACTTTGCAGCCGTGGTGTCTTCTAGAACTGAAATACAGGAAGGCTCCAACATGAGTTATAGCTTATTTATATACTCCAACCCCTTTTTTTGAGACTGAATCTCTAGCTCTGGCTGTCCAGGAACTGAAAAAGAGCAGGCTGACCTTATGGCCTTGAATTCATGGAGATCCACCTGCCACTGCCTCCTATGTGCTGGGGTTAAAGGCCACACCACCATGCCAGGTTCATTTGTACTTCCTACAGGAGGCTAAACAGCCAATTTGTCTGAGGGCACATATGTGTAAACACACGTGTACACTTATGTATGATGCAGATAGAGACCCCAGGCTGGGCTTTCTTCCATGTGGGAGCAGTGATGAGCTGTGGGCCTCACTGCAGGTCTCAGATGGTTTATCAGACACAGATGCGCGGAGCCAGCAGACATGAGTGAACCACAAGATACATGTCATGTCTGATTTTTCACATTCTCAGAGATGGGAGCTTGGTCGTCCCATCCCTTCTTCCCACAACACAGGCACGGGGACAGAGAGGGAGTGAGGTAGGGAAGCCCCTAGTAAGAAAACCTCCCTGCTGTCAAAACCGTCATGTTCTACTCTGACTTTGGTCAAGACTTAAGTTCATGATTCCCGAGGAAACAGCTGCAGCTACCACCCCTGAGAAGCCACAGAGAGAAAGAAAGGCAGATGCAGAATGTGGCCCCCAGATGTCCCTGCTCCGACTCCAACTTCTCAGTGCTGCTGTCCTCGGGCAGAGGTCACCCAGGAGCAGGCCACAGGTTAAGCTTGGATCAATACGCCATTCCCACTGGGGTCAAGTGTAAGTCTGGTAGGAGGTCCTGGAGGTTGTGGTAAGCATTTGGGGGAGCAGCGGGAAACGGCTACATCTGGGGTGACAGCACTCAAGGCAGAGGGAGCCTTGTCCTTACTGAAGTTCCATTCCTGGAAGAGTGTCAAACATTAACTCTCAGGCCTCCTCTTCGGGTGGAGAAGACAGGCCTCGGCCTCACTCTATGAGCTCCACGTAGTTGGCAGGAAACATGCCAAAGTGGCCGTCAGGCCCGTAGCCACGCCACCAGCCTTCATCAATCACCTCGATGCCCGTGATTAGGTTCTCAGGGTCAAAGGAGATCTCTGTGTCGTCGGCTGCAGGAAGGGAAGCCGAGGGATGGCATCTTGGTACCTTGCCACACCCCTCACCTGTCCCCAAAGAGCCCAGTGCCACCCAGTCGGGCGGCACCAATGTGCCTGTACCTGCACTGGCCACCACTCAAGGCAGAGCATCCTAAAGATCACTCCTTTAAATCCTTGTTCCCCAGTGCCCCAACCCTGAAGGCTCGGAGCTGACACGCAGGCCTCACTTCTCCCATCAGACCTGGAAGGTCTACAGTAAGGATGGCTATAGGGATTCTGTGAGTGCGTGGTGGATGGTAGGCAGCCAACTGGAGGCACGTGCTCTTCAGGACAGACGTTCCAAGGCTGTGGGCATTCCCACTACAGAGGGTCTTCCATCCCATCCCATATATCTTTCCTTTCAGATACCCTCTGGAGCTAACCCCCAGAAAGCCCCTGTACACATTCTTGTTCCCTAATCTCAGGATTTGTGACCCGTGACGGTAGCTAGAGGAATCTTACCTGCCTGGTAGTCGTACAAGGCCCGGGCACACAGCCCCTGCCCACTGAGGCCCTGGCCCTGCATGTAGTTGTCGATGTGTACGGAGTCAGCCCCTTGCTGCTGTACCTGTTGGAAGTGAGAAAGATGGCATTACTCCAGTCTCAGCCTTCACCCAAGGCTCAGACTAAGCTGGGATCTGGGGCAAGGGCATCGAGTACGAGAGGGCCCTGTAGGGCAAGGGGCTGTGGCTGCCTGGTACACTTGCAGCACGGCTCTCATCTCAAAGGTAGCACACAAAGGAGCTCTTGGCATCTGTCATCAACCACACAGGGCACTGGCACACACGACCACGGCACAGCACGGTTCCAAGGAGAATGAGCAGACTCACAGGTAGGCTGCTTGCCTACAATGCTCAAGGCCTTGGATTCTATCATCCCTGCCACAGACCAAAACAAAACTAAGCTGTGATAGGGGCAATCCCCACACTCAGAAAGGCCGGGTCAACGGGATCTCCAGCTGAAGACTACACAGTGAGACCCTGTCTTCAAAATACAGTGAAGGGATGGTTCAGTAGTTAAGAGCATTTGCTGCTCTTGCAGAGGATCCCAGCTTGGCTCTCAGAACCCACGCAGCTCACAACTGTAATCCCTATTCCAGAGGCATCTGATGTTTTCTTTTGGCCTCCACACGTACCACACACACATACACATACAGGTCAAACACTCATAAAATAAAAACAGAAAAAACAATACAATCCTAGTACCCTAAAACATGCCACAGGAACTCAGACCTATGTCCAACCCACCAGTGGCGGTTCCTCGTAGAGAGCCTCCTGCTCTGGGGCTTCTTCATATGTGGGTTCTTCTTCTGTCTGAACTGCAGACAGACTGCTAGGTGCTGGCTCCTCACAGACACCTACAGCAAAGGCCACAACAGGATATGACCTTCTTTCTACAAAAGTCCCCCTCTCAATCATCATCTCCCCTCAGGGCTGTACAAGGTTACAGGGGTCTTGCCTGCACCGGGCCTTGAGACGGTGGGAGTTGGCTCTCTGCCATAGGAGGCTTCTGGCTGAGTGAGCTGCTTCTGCAGGAAGGGGCTCCTCAGCTTACCTGAACAACCCAGAAAACACCAAGTCATTACTTCAGCTATAACACCTGCACTCCACAGACCTGCCTAGTGTATCTGAAGTAGGGCCCCTGTTAACACAGGTAAACACCCCAGGGTTTCGGGCTGTGTCACCTGGATTCTGGTGGCTCTCCTCATTCTTTTGTCGCCCTTTAAAACATGCCCTGGAGGCCCTTGCATGGACTCTAGGCTTCCCCTCGGTCCACCCTGTTTTGTTGCCAGGCCCAGAGGAGGTCTCACCTGGCTGAGAGCTGGAGAGAGAGGTGGTGGACATAGCCCTCTCCTTCTGCTTGAAAATCTCTCGTGGGTGTGGGGCCTGCTGCCCAGCAGACTCCTGGGAGAAGCACAGAAGCATGCTTTGACCCCCGCGGTGACTGAGAACCCAAAGGCCTCTCACCTGACTGCCCTAGTTCAGAAAGCAGGCCCTCAACGCTGTGTTAAGTGTGTGTAGGATGAGTTAGAATGGGGACCAGGGAGACGAGGAGCTGACAGGGCCTCTCCCAAGACGCGGCTTCGAGCCATGCCCAGAGCTTCTGTCCTGGTTTCCCCCACTGCTTCTCTGTGTGCACAGATGCGCCTCAGGTTGACTGCAGAGGTCTGGGCTAAGCCTCAATCCAACAACAAGGATTTCACCAAGTGGCTAAGACAGAGCCAAACTAGCAAATCCCCAGGTCTGTTGAAGAGATGCCTGAAACTCACCCATTCCTGTCTGCTCCTTGAAAGCACTTCTTGCTCCTGCTCACACGTCCTGCTGGAAGGGCAGAGATCAGGAGAGCTGAGGCTGGCAGCAGCTCCTCATGCTGGTCCCTCAGTGTTCCTGCCCCACAACAGGCGAGCATTTGGGGACAGCCATAACCACTTGCCCAGGGCATGGTGGGCTAACCTTGGGGTTCCAGATGATCTATGCTGTTCCTGGTAGCGCTGCTCACGGCGGGCAGCCTCCTGCAGCTCTCTCTCACGCCGCTCCTCCTCCAGTCGCTGCCGCTCCTCCTCAGCCCTTCGCTTCTCCTCCAGTCTGCGGTTCTCCTCTTCCTTCTGCAGAGGGAGCTGCGCACTCAGCAACGTGCAGCCCCCTAGGCTTCAACCCCTGTCAGGGACTGGGTCCCTCAAAGGGCCATGTCAAAGAAGGAACAATGCAGCCCATCATGCACTGTGCCTTCAGTGTAACCAGCTGTAAGGACAATGCCCAGCAGCGTGTCTGTCAGTGTGCCCGCCTCCACTACTACAGCACTCACCTCAGCCTTGGCCCAGAAGCTATCTTTGCCAACCCTCTTGATCTCAGACTCGGCGTTGGTTTTCTGGTACACGGAGCCCTAGAGAAGACACAGTGGATGGTCAGGCACGAATGGGGCAGGGTAACGGGAATTTGTCAGCTCTAGAGAGCACATGAAACCTTCTAGGTCTGCACCTGGGAGGCTCAGAGGAGCCTGGACTGCCACTCACAAGACACACCAAGACGTTCAGAAAAAAGTCTGGAGCTGGGTGTGGTAGTGCACACCTGTAAGCGCAGCACTCGGGAGGCTGAGGTGGCTGAGGCAGAAGGATCTTGAGTTCAAGGCCAGCCTGGCCTACAGAGCAAGGCCCTGTTTCAAAAACTAAACAAAACAAGGTCTAGAAAGGATGGCTCAGAGGCTAAGAGCACTACTGCTCCTGCAGAGGACCAGGTTCCCAGCACCCACATGGGATAGCTGTCTGTAACTCCAGTTCCAGAGGATCTGTTGTTGCCCCTTTCTGGCCTCTGCAGGCACAGTACACATGTAGTGCACAGACACACATACAGGCAAAACACCCAGACACGCTACACATAAAATAAAGACAAAATACATCTTTAAAACAAACAAAAAAAACAAAAGCTCAGGGAGACCACCCCAGCAAGGACATGGCACCCTGAGAGCACAGGGTGTGTGTCCATGTCCATGTGTGTCTATGGTGGCAACTGGTCCTCACTGATGGGAACAGGAGGATTTTTATTCTAGACTCCTGGCAATTCTAAAGTAGGCCGCTCTTCAGACAGCTGACTGCTGGCAACATCCAGAAGCATCACCATGGATCCCAATTGTATGACTAATTAAGTGGTTTGCAGCCATGAGCGCCACATGATACCAGAGCCACAGGCCTGTGTGGTTTCAGGCTCTGCAATAAAGCTGCCAGAAGTTCTCCACAACGGCTCCCCCGACCATCTAAGTCATGCGGACACTATAGCTCTCGGGTTATTAGACTATTACAGCTGTGGGCAGTTGCTGAAGAGCCTCTGCCACAAGCTGGCTCTCCAATAGCAAAGCCATGGGGTTGGTGCCCATCAGGGCATAGGATCACCATCAAGAGATGCCAAGCAGAAGGAATTGTTACTCAGACATTAAAAACTACATTTTTGGTCCCCTGCTCTTAGGCATGAAGGAAGGTCCATGTCAGGGCAGCACTCACCACTGGGGCCTGAGGTCCTGTATCCTGGAAGCAGGCGCTTTCCCTATGGAAGCTGTAGTTAGCTCCAGAGGCCTTGGCAACCTTCTCCATGATGCACTCAGGCTCCACGTCCTCCTCAGCCCGT